AAGTTCTGACCCTCGTCATCATCTTCTGTTCTTATTTTGTAGCACCTCCAATGTTATCCGCATCAGGAAATTGCGTTTTACTTGTATTTGAAAGCGCAATTAAAGGACTTGGCAAAGTGCCAAGGAGCCGCACGCGACACGCGCGCTTACGACGGATGTTATGAAGGACGGGAATCTGCGCCGCAAAAAGGCATTGGGCGGAGCATGGACGAACTAGCGTGTTTCACGGTCCTGTATCTCCATTCCTGCGCATGTTTGAACGGGGAAACCGCTATGCTTCGACAGCTGGGGGGCTGCTAGTCACATACACCCTCAATGTGTGTGAGCGTACTATGTGTCTTTAAGTGTAAAAGAATCGATGTTGAGCTCAGCCTCAAGATCTGCACATTGATCAGGCATTTTGATCACAGTAGGCGAAGCCAAAAAATCGAGTAGACGAGCAGGAGGAGCGAATCAATGACGACGACTAGCCTGCAGAACACGTCGTCTACACTAAATTCCTTTGCCCTGCCTACCTTCGCCACGCCTCGAGTCCAGGTGCCTTTTCGCTGCCATTCCGCTTCACCACAGTATTACTGCTCGTTATCCATTCGGAGAAACATGCTGTTCAGCCCTGTGTGCAGTTGACAGGATACAGCTCCCACTTATAATCGTAGCTCTGTCTAGATACTCGGTTTAAACAAATGTAGCAGATCACCTTTTCGTTTTCGTTTTGTCGTTGCTGAAGTCCTATGATGGTTACATAGCACCTTACCATCAAACAGGCTTGGATCTCGAACGGCCACAATCCTAAAAGCTCCCCTAAACCCTATAGGTTCCTTACTATTGCCCCTTCCTTCTGCCGTGACCAGCGAGAATTTCCGCTGGAATCCTCCTATGTTCGTTGTTCGTTACCAATGCCGGGAAATGATTGGTTGATTTCAAGGGCATAAGGCACGATAATTCGCTACTCAAGTCCAAAATGGCAGCAGGGGTGCTTTAGTCAGGAAATTGGCGAAAAAGCGAAGTAAAACGGTCAAAAACCTGAAAAGCCTTTGTTCTACACGAAAAAAAGCAATTTGGACGAGTTTCCCGCTGGCATCGGGCCAATAACCGCTTCGGTAGATACGGCTTCATGCGTGTACTCACATATTCATACAGCACCGCAGGTGCTTAATATCAACCCTCTTCGCTTCTTTGTAACTGAAGCGATACGAGCACCAGCACAGCACCAGTCAGACATTTGTGGCGGGTGGGCGCGGTGGGTGTCCGGGTCGGTGGTTGCAGCTTGATAGGTCGTTATAAGGAGAAGCACGCAGCGCATACTCAGCGGAGCCAAAATCTCCCTTGCTAGGCGTATTTATCCTTCACGCCCTGGAGATTTATCTTGCCACTTGCATTTGAGGAACCAACCAGGACGAGCCGTGTAAGTTATTCACGAACGTTCAGAGCCAGTCCACTCACCGGTTTCACGACATATTTAGGAGCACATCGAACATCTCGATATCCTATTTCTAGCCAGTGATCACCTTCAGCTCTCATACGATCTTCTCTATGTTCAATATTGATAGTTCGTATCTCGTTCACCTTCTCACTAAAATCACTTCGTCACGGAACATTTCATAGGTTTATCAAAGAGTACTGAGAAATGTACTCACAGAACTTGCTCGAAGGAACGTGTTATGCAGTAATTCTTTTGAATCACTTCCAGTGCTTCATCTGTGGTACCATACCTAAATATACACAAAATAGTTGTCCAAAATAACTATAAAACTGCTGAAAATAAACCAGCACTTTCAAAACACTGAACGACTATTTGCAGCCAGATGTTTTCTGACTTGTCAAAACAACAGGTTGCAAGTTCGCCGACATTACGCACATAATTATGTGTGTGTAGTAATAGTCAGAGACTGATGAAATTAATGTGCATCATTTTGTGATCATTCAAAACGCCTTCGTTTACCCTAGTAATGCAGAGTGACAGGAAGCACGGTCCCCCATGCCCACTGTCAGCGGATCGGATGGCGCTGCGAATAACTCGATGGATTCTGGATTGGATGGCGATACGGGACTTTGTGGACCGGGTCCTTCTTGCGCAATTTTTTGCATTTCTCAGCTTTCTATTCATTCGCGTTCCTGTGTGTCTAGCAGTGGAAATAAGCCAAGTATATGCCATTTGAAGGCATATTCTTGCATTTTCTATATACTTGGCTTATTTTCACTGCCACACACACACAGGAACGCGAATGAATAGAAAGCTGAGAAATGCAAAAATTTGCCACAAGGAGGATCCGATCCACAAAGTCCCGTATCGTCGTCCCATCCAGAATCCATCGAGTTATCCGCTGCGCCATCCGATCCGCCGACAGTGAGCATGAGGGGACCGCTGACAAAAACATCACTGTTGCGTCGGTGCATGCCAAGTGTGTTACTACATGATACTTACATTTTGACTTTATTCAAAACTATTTTCGAAGCCTAGTTAAAGGGTACCTATGCATGCTCGAAGTTACAATCAGAACGGAGCCCATTAAGATAGTTAAAATCGCCCATTCTTGTCAAATTCTTTTCACTCAGTTTTTGACCTCCCCAGAAACGCATAGCAAAAAACCCATTTTTGTGATCCTTGTATGGACCCCTACAACAAGCAACAAACCATTTCCAAAAAGCGCGCCACGACCTGAAAGACCTCCCTTGTAAGAGCGAAATCTGCGAGTGGCCCCAACCAGTTCGTGACTTGATCGAGATTCGTATAGCGAAGTATGACTAAAATGATGACATTAATCTACCGTCTGTCGCGAACTTTTGGGACAACCCAATATATTCTCACTGGTAAAGCGCTTTGCCCATGACTCAACATTCTTTTGATAGCTTTCAGATCAATAGCTATAAAGAGCTGTAAACGTAATGAAAACAAGCTCGCAGTAGACGGCAACTCACATGGTTATTCCGTCATAAAGTGCTTTGAGCTCTTCACTCGTCCAATCGCCCTCATTAAAACTACGGTTCTCACGGATCCTCTGAAAAAAAGTTCTACGTTGATGTTGTGCTTATGATGTTGTCCGTCGCTTATGATGTTGTGCTCTACATTTGATCATATTACAAGATGTGCAAGGAAAAGAGACCAAGACTAAAACGACAAATCGCAGGAGACAGCAGAGTGAACTTCCGATCAGAAACTGAATATTCACATTCAACGCCGTCACCAAAAATGACGGCATGTTTGTAATCAGGACTTCGAAGACCTTGAAACGTAAATTCGCAACGAGTTCGGTGTGAGAATTGGAGGTCAGTTTGTTCTGTTCAGGAAGATAAATAATCTCTGTGAACAAGTTCGTAACAATTTGGTGACAAAATTGGTGGAGCGTTCGAATGGGTATCCAAAGGTACTCAAAAAATCATTCAGGAGTGATAATAGTAGAAACAGCGTAAAGTTTCAAATTCTACTTGTAAATAAAGAAAATTGACGCACCCTCTCAAGTGGGCTTAATTCAAAGATTTCACGAGCTGCTTGACCAGCGCGTACATTGCTTGCGATCTCAGCAACTGCACTGAATACCTCGTTTGATGGTTCTATCTGTAGAGAAGAAAACTCGCTCTTTTTGTGCGCTGTATCAGCATAGAAACAAAGAAATAATCAAAATTATAATGAAACCAAACAGTACAGCTACCATTTCTGGAGGATCTTCTTCGTAGCCACCTACTCCATCGGCAGCAGGTACAAGTTGAGAAGTCGAGGCACCGGCATCGACTCCTGCAAAATAAGTAGTTCGGGAAGCCTGAACCTTCTTGTACGTAGTTGATCACGGATCCGATCTGCCCTAGAAAGTGAGGAATTCAAGGTCAATGGGTCATTGTGAGCCTATTCTTTCCGAAAGTGAATCGAGTAATCTGGGAACGGTTCTTTTGTAGACACAGTTCCCGACAAGACTAAATTGCTCGTCGCTTCTACAAATCAGCAAGCTGAAAGGTGGTTCAGCAGAGTGCGCAAAGCAACCAGTAAGAGAAGAAAAAAAACGGTACGGTTCCAAAGAATACAAGCTGACGTATTGCTATGTATGCTAAAAAGTACGCGTATATGTGGCCGGTGTCCCGTTTACCGTTTGCGCCGTCGATCGCGATGTCGCGCGGACTAAATTTATGCCGGATTTATCTGGACTTTGACATGGAGTAGTGCAATCTACAGATAACTTGAACTCCACATCACCCAAATAAAAGCGCGACGTCTATGCTACAACTGTTCCAGCTACAGAGACAATGATCAAATGATCGCATTGACGACCGCGTGATACGCATTGAATGCACGCTTTGTAGGCCACGTGGGACCGCGTGCATTGAATACGAATCACGATCAACAAATCCATATCTTTCACTAGTGCATGATTTTTTGTTTAGTTTCTCATATTCATTCTATGGTTCAGTCCTTAGTCTACTCGTACAACGCGTGGTCCATGGAATAGTTCAGCACACACTAGTTTAGCAAAGAATTCCTGGGAAAATAACACCCTTTGCTTGGATTGGTTTGCTCCTCAACACTGGATTGATTTGCTCTTCAACACTTTACTAATAAATGCAGATAAATACCATACTGATAATGATAAAAAAATATAATGATGAAGGATTCTGAGTCCTGTAGAAGGCACGACTTGTGTTTTTTATGAAAACATTGGTTACAGACAAATTTCTGGCACCTAGTGCAACGAGAGTTGGCCAGCCTAGTTTTTTCCATAGTAAATAATTGAACTTACTTCATAATTGCTCTCTCAACCAGGTTTTCCGATCCAATCTCCAAAAAAAGCGCCTCGTGGGACCGCGTGAATTGTATGCGTACCGCGCTTGTGGCGTTCGAGAAAGCGCGCGTGTCCCACGAGGCCGAAACGCGCGCGGTCGTCAGCGTGTTACTGTATCGCACTGTTAAGCGCGATCGATCGCGTGTCTCGCGATCGCGCGATCCGATCGCGCTACTGTGTGGGTGAAATTACACACCGGGAGGGGGTCATGTTCGTTCATGTTCAACTCAACTCAACAAACAACAACACAAAGTTCTGGGAAGGGAGTCGTACTGATATCACCATTTCTCACATCACGATGCTGTATCCTGCCTCCAATAGGCAGTTCCAAAAACGATATAAAAGTTCGACCTTTTTTGATGTCTTTTAGGCCGTGTTCATATTCGCAATACTGACGATTTGCAGAAACCGTCGAAAGGAAAGGTTGTGTATAGACCTGGAGGATGGCAGAACAAACAAAGCAACACAATGTGACAAAAGTAAAGTGAATATCTGGAGGACTGGCAAAATCGGGGGAAGGGAGAGAAACAACATCACCCGCTGTTGAAAGTTCTGCGTGTCTTACTTTTGGAACAAGATGTTCAATACTCCGCTTGAACGTACTCAGATGCAAAATTCAGTATAATAATTAGCATATTGTATATTTAGTACTATTTTACATAGGAAATAATAAATAACTCAAAGATATTTCGAAACGTTCCTTAAAATTAGGAGGGCGTTATGTACACAAAGGAAGAAAGAAGGAAAAGGAAAAAAGAACAGGAACAATAAACATGAACCATGACCCCCTCCCGGTGTAATTTCACCCACAGTAGCGCGATCCGGATCGCGCGATCGCGAAGTCTGAACGCGCTCTTAATGCTGTTCGAACGGCCACTGAAGCTGGGGGGGCTTAGTCCTCAAGTGAGGAGCGTTGACGAGCGGATATCCGTCGGATGCACGACTTTAACAGAAGAAAATTGAGCAGCTGCCAGAAGCCCCCTGGTAGATAAGCACTGAACTCCAGACAAATCCGAATCAGCTCACCTGCGTTTTCAACCGGTTCTTCTTTGACGACATGTCCTATCATGCCTGCCGTCTCCCCGCGAAACGAATTTTCATCTTTAGCAACTTGATCGGCCATGCTTGGCACAAAACTAGTCGTAAGATCAGAAACTTATCGCATTTTGATCACAAAATGACAACAAACAAACCCTACACGTGGAAACAAAACTCAAAAAAGGGAGGAAGTGATTTAATTAGATTAGTAAGAGACGAGAGTGATAAAAGTCGAAATATTGATTTTCACTTCGTAGCGTCTTTTGCGTCACTGACACCAAATAGTTTGCTGTAATTGACATAAGTTACTCTAGATAAGAAAAAAAACAGCTAGATAGATAGGGAATAATTTGAGCTATGCAAGAGGAGGGGCGGCGGCACCATTGTTTTGCACAGCTCGACTTCGTGCCATTGCGTACACCGCCTCGAATAATTTCAACCAGCTGGACCCAAAAAAATGAAGAAATAGAGCACTTAAGGCGATAAAGTTATTAATGATCTACTCAAGGCTGCGTTCATACGCGACCAGAAGGCGACCACAAAATGTTGGCAACGTGCCGCAGCCGCCCTGTAGAAACATGGCACGCCATTGCTTTGTGATCATTTTCCGCTAAATACGACCCCCTCCCTCTAAAAAGGGTCCCCATACGACCCCCCCTGTGTCTTGCTCCGCGCGACCTATTTGATAGCATTATTTGTTAGGTTTGGTAGGGGTCGCCTCTATCATTTGTAAGACGTATTTGCTTCCCCCGTATCAGCTCTTGGCGCCTATAAAAGGGGGTGCCAGGCTGATACGGGGGGGGGGTCCTAGAGCCGGTTCCAATAAAACTTAGAGAACCAACGCTCTACCTCGCACAAATAAAACAAGCCCCTGATCGGGACACCCTGTCCGCTGTTAATCTGGTGGCAGCAGACCAGATTCGCACAGGACTAACAAACACCGAAAGAATGGAAGATTTGCGAACATAAACGACAATAAAAGAGGCAACGGTAAACAAGGATAAATGTGAGAAACGCGAAGAAAATGAGCTATAATGAATCATAAATAAATAAACAAAAATAATAAACCATAAATGAACCATAAGAAGACATGAAAAAGAAGAAAAAAAAAAATCCATGTGCTAACACTTGAATATTAATCGTTCGCGGCCATTCAAAGGTGCAATTAGAGTTAGAGCGCGCTTCGTGCCGAGGTATTGGAGCGAGCTATTTCACGATCCGGAGCCAGTTCCAAGCCAAACAGTCGGAAAGTACCCTTCACTTGAACACCCATAACTTCTTTGAGAGTGGAGCTTTCGGAGAGGGGAAAGCAGGATGTGGAGCACTAGGTTGGCACTTGTTACCTGAGTTTGAGCGAAGTAGAAAAACCCTTTCCAAGAGATTCTCTTCGTTGTGATCCGTTTGTGTCATTGGGAGTCACTTACAAGTCCTTACGCTTTGAACTGCCATAACAATCTTCATGCAAGGCCATTTGTAAAACAAAAAGCAGTGACGGAATTTCGAAGGTTTCTACTTTCCAGCAAGACTTTCATTTTATCCCTAGGCCTGCTATTCGAAAAAAATCCCCGTTGTGATCATTACGCAACCCCTTCCGAACAACACGAAAAACCCACCCTCCGACGCCATACCACTTCCAGTTCGTTTGAAGACTTTGGTATGCTTCTAAAACACATGTTTTCGCCAAGGGTATCAGGAAATAGTCATTCGGCGCCAATTGGCATCACCTCTGCATGCGCCATGCATACGGAGTCTCACGGCAGAGGTTATGAGATGGTGCAACTTCCACGGTGCAAGCAGATGTGCTTCTGCGATCAGAAAAGACCACAAGGGTATTTTCATCTGATTATTAATTCATGACGTCCCTGTGGGCGGCCATCGTATTTGTTATCGCCCGTTCCCCACTTCTGCGCTTACAGGTTGCTTCCTTGTGTGTGTCTCTTCAGGGGTTCTTCACATGGATAAGTCTTTCATCATTGAAGCTGAACGACATCTGAGTATCGCTGCTCTCTCCACTTCAGAAATGGGCCCATGCGCTTACGACCCCCCCCCCCCTCCTCTTCTCTCGAGGTCAAATGTGTTCACGAGGTCAGACTACCACTGGAGGCAAATT